GCTTAAGGCGCTAACTTTTAAATCTGATCTTCAGGATTGAGGGCGAAAGTTCAAATCCTAAAGGGTCCTTTTTTTTAATTTTTATTTAGGTTCGAATCCGGGCCGTTCTTTTTTTTTCTTTTTCTCCTTTTCTTTGTTTAATAACATTGACTTCGACGTAATCTGTGTAGACGTAACTGTAGAAACAGGAGCCGCAAGAATTACTCCAAGTTTGTTTATCGATCGAATTATCGACCGAATTTATATGGGAAGTGACTTTGTTGGACGTTAATAGTGCGGAGAATTTGGAACAAAAAAAAAACGGCTTTATTAAATCCGGTATCAACAACAGGAACATGAACGACGACTCAAGAATTTCTCAAAGTACGATCAACATTGTACATTTACCGGTTTGACATCTGAGAACACGGCTTCAATTCGATTCGATATGCTTCACAGACTCCACAGTAAAAAATATATTCGCGGCTTATTCACGGCGTTGAAACAAGGAAATATGTTTTCAAATGTTTCCTTAACAAGAAAAGGAAATGTTCTTTGCATGAAATAATAATAATTGATGCAAATCTGTTGTCGGAAATTCAGGACATATTCTAAGCGGTGTCACGCAAGTTACTCGTCCACTGGGCATTCAGTTCGTCGAGAAAACAAGACCGTCAACAGTATAAAAGGGAAGATGTCGGGAGACCAGCGAGCTCCAGTCGATCTCTAAAGCCTGGTTATTACCCTCACACCCCAACAATAATTAATCCCCATCACAGATTCGCGAGGACCCATGCGAGTCACGTATTACTAGTAAATGTGTCCTCCGTGAGTCAGCAGGCGGGATCAATTCTCATCTGGACTTTAAGGTCATAAATATTTGTTTGTGAAAATCGTGGATGGCGAAAATGACGTCACATCGCGCGCTGGTGGCCTAATGGGGGGGGCTAATGTTTTGCACTTCACAATAAGAGGGATGAGGCCCAGGCCCAACCCTAAATTCCCCACTGCTCCACAATCACACACTGGCCAAACAGAAAAATCAGTCCTCTTCTCCATCCCGGCCTACCTCATACATGGTTAGACTTTAATAAAATATGTTGTTAAGAAGGTGACATTAATAATTATTTTCTTTGACCATAAAGGGTTTTATTGTGTGCCGCTTTCGGTCCCTGTTCATGGTGGAATAAAAACTCCTTGCACTCGGTTGCCAGGTCATTCCTGTCGGTTTACCTGTGAACGAGGCTACAATCTGATTGGTTCAGCCATACGATGGTGTAAAAGTGATGGAACATGGACTGGCACACAGCCTCGATGCCATGGTAAGCTCACATTTATTGGAAAGTGGTGGTTACCAATGTTTTGCGCGTTGGACTCCGGATCGAGCGGTCCGGGTTTATGGCGTTATATCCCCGCCAAAATTCAAGTTTTGATTTGCAACATTGATGCTTCGAATTTATGCTCGTTTTACAATCCAACATTCAACTTCTGTAATTCAACTTTCCACATTTACAATTCGACATCCATCTTGACAATTCAACGTGCTCCGTTTACATGCATGATGTACAATGCGACATTTGTGTCTTTCAATTCAATGTTGATACTCGGTGTGCGATATGCATGTATCACAATCCAACATTCTTGTTTCGACATCGAACTTCACGCTTGAGTGAGTCGACCTTGGGATGGTAAACCGCTGTACAAACGTAATTTGGACTCAAAAGAGTTGCACGTGGACTAAGCGGCCGCTGAGCTTGCTGTTGCAGGCTACACAGTGAAGGCGGATAAACAGGATAATATCTCTCTTCTCCAAATACCATAGCTTCTTGAAAGCTACAGCAATCTCTGACGGAACTGGACCGACAAGAATATGACTTATTTTTTTTCTGAGAGCGCGAACGGGCGGAACTCTCGAATCCTGCAATCTGATTGGTTCCGAGAGCGGGCAAGATTTTCCAATCTTGCCCACGGTCAAAATATCAAATGACTTTGCCGCCAGGCCTGCGCTGCCCAAGCGAATAAGTTTTAATTTCAGCAACGTGCGAAGGTCGATGCGAAGAAGCTTTTACTGAATTTTTCACATTATATTGCTCTCTTATCGTTGTCAAGTGAATGGAGAACTACGCAATGGAATTAAAGAGCTTGCATTTCTTAAAAAAGGCGAGTGTTCATTTTGATTTTGACCGACATAATTTGAGTTTGTTGTTGTTTTGGAAATCACTTTCACGCTCTCTAGACTTGCGATTTTAAATTACAAATATCCGTGTTTAGACTCAATACCTTAGTTTTAGTCATTTGCTTTTCGTTTCTCTTTTTTACCGAAACAGCCCATCATTAACTTTAATTAAAGAAAGAACTTAGTGATTACCGGTAACCAAGAAAATAATTCTCGGCTCGTATAAATCAGTTGTGTCGGTACGTTGAAACTGAATGCATGAATACAGTTTGTCAAGGTTTCGCATAAAATGAAAATTGTAAATGGCCATCGAATGGCAAGAATTAGATTAACATGGAAATGAAATTGTAGAAAACTGAGGAAACAGTTTTGCTCGGAAAATGCTTTCATGATACTATGCAAGAGTATGGAAGATTTTTCTAAAATTTTGCCGGTTACGCCGGACTTTGAATGGCTTTAGCTTCTCATTTCAGCTGCTTTTAGCGGTGGAATTCCGTTTGAGTCTCCATCGTCTGTTCTACACATCTACCTTTCTGTAATTCTGGTGTTAAAATTAATCGTCTGAGTTTCTTTTTATTTGGATTAAGTTTTATTTCTTCGGTAGTTCATAGTTAATAGAGGGAAATGGTTATGAAGCCCGGCAAACTTCAAAGGAGCAAACAAAGAGGCCAAGATTTATGTTGGAAGTTCCATGACCGTGCACATCTTTTGTTTTGAGCTCATACACTATGCATGAATTACGTAATCGCAACGTTTATATTGGTTAGTTGCTTGAACACACGTAACAGCTCATTGTATTTTGTCAGGTTTTGTGCACGGTCAACCCCCAAAATAGCGAACAAAAACATATAACAAAGAACTTTGCTGGGCTTCATAACCATTTCTCTCTATTAACTATGGGTAGTTTGAGTTTTATAGCGACCTTGCGATCAGCTATAAAAGGAATACGCGCGCGCGTGAAAAACAGATTTTGCAAAACGGCAAGATTTCAAGATTTCTAGCATTACCAAACCAAGTAGGAAAAAAATAAATACGTTATTTGCCGGCCTTGGTCGGTCCGTATTGAGAAAAACTGTGCCCTCGGTCTTGAGTACGGCCCTCGGCCTACGGCCTTGTGCCGTACTCAAGACCTCTGGCACAGTTTTTCTCAATACGGACCTCCCGGCCGGCAAATAACATATATATCCGTGATGAGATCAAAACAGTGAAATCTTGCAACATATTTTTCAAACATGCTGGGCCCAGCAAGACAATAAATGCAGGAAATCTACGTCCTACACGCGGAGAAATTTCATATTCAGTCTATCCAGATAGAAAAATAAGAGAGCATAACCTTGTCTTGCAAGAGAGATGAGCCAAAGTAAATCTAATCAGGGGCACCCAACGGATCATTTCGGTGAAATATCTGTTCGAAAGGCCTATAATCTCCTCGGATATTCGGTTAGGGAAATGTCATCTCGAACTTTCGTAATATGGGAAAATTAATGCCTTTTGTTTTCGGAGAGATAAAAATGTCGTTTTGGGTACAAAAAACGGTCAGCTAGGATTTTCGGAAAGGAAAATTCACCTCATAAATTCGGGTAATAAGATTTCAATCCCTAAAATGTTCTGAAGTTTGAAAGTTCAGCTAACGTATCCGAACAGATACATTTTTCTTAGCGTTTAAAAATAGGCCATTAAACTGCACAAAAAGCACAGTTATAACGTAAAAACGACGTTCTGACACCTACAGAAAAATGTTGTCGTTGGGTTGTCGGTGTGTGTGAAAAATGTTGTCTAAACATCGCAGATTATAGAGGTGTCAAAATACAAGAAACCAAACGTGACCTCTTAAAATTTGCTAGAGTGAACGCAGTCGAAGGCTCTATTCTACTTGAAAGTACTCCTCATAGTACTACATATTTTGCCCGTTAGAAACACATTTGAAGCAAAGTAGGTCAGAAGACCGAATTAATTAGAGAACGGCTAAAGTACAATTGTCACGTTCTGTAGAAGTCGTGAAGGCCTGTCACACGGCATTATACCCGTGAAAAGCTGTTATCGAGGTTCACTAGTGTTCGAGTTAGATAGTCCAGACTTAGGCATATTCCATCAACTTCGAACGAAGTGATTAGATTCTCTAGACTTGCAATCGTCTGCTGGACGATATCCCCCCGGGGGGGGGGGGGGGGGGGTACTCCCTTATGTGGCCTATACGGTGACGTGGCCGCTGGACAGGGTATGGTTTTTGGCCTCTCTGCCCTGAACAGGGTATATAATTTCATGCGAGTCTGTCCAAAACAGGGTCTGAACCTGTCCTAAACAGAGTATTGCTGCACGATTGTCGTCGTAAAAATATGGCTTATACAGTATTTAGAGATCGGAGACGTTTGCCGCGTATCAGTCAAACCGGATTCGCTAAATTGCAACCTAAACAAGGTCCTAAAATAGAGGATTTTGTCCTACACAGGGTAGGTATTTTAGGAGTTTTTATTGTTTTCAAACCCTCAGCGGCACCCCTATACCCAAACGCGCTTTTCATCACGGTTACATTGTTTTCCCTGACTGACTGACTGACTGACTGACTGACTGACTGACTGACTGACTGGCTGACTGACTGACTGACTGGCTGGCTGGCTGATTGACTGGCTGGCTGGCTGGCTGACGGACTGACTGACTACCTGACTGACTGGCTGGCTGGTTGACTGACTGACTGACTGACTGACTGACTGACTGACTGACTGACTGGCTGACTGGCTGACTGGCTGACTGGATGACTGGCTGACTGACTGACTGACTGACTGACTGACTGACTGGCTGACTGACTGACTGACTGTGACCAACTGAGATAGATTGATTGTGATAATGAATATATGCGGGATTTGAACGACCCATGACGACCGTCCGCGTTACTAGTTCGATGCTCTACCAACTGAGCTATGAACCCACACATTGGTAGTAGGTCAATTGTGAGTTGATAGACCCGTGATAGGAATGACTGTGATAATGAATATATGAATGACCGATTGACTGACTGACTGACTGACTGACTGACTGACTGACTGACTGACTGACTGACCGACAGACGGGCCGGCAGGCAGGCCGACCGACCGACCGACCGACCGACCTTTTCAGGACTATACCCTCACCCGAACGATCACAATAAAAAAACTACTGATACCCCGGCTGGGTTCAAACCATTTACCATTATCTACTTATTAGTTTTTTGATATTTTGCAATTTCTTCTCAGAAATCCCCAGCCGGTCCAACCTTGGGAAACAAGACAACTCCAAGCTGATTCTTTACATAGTCATTCCAGGAGGACTCATCATACTTATTGCACTGGTTGGTTTCGTCATCTTTTGTGTGTGGAAACACCGTGTGTAAGTAATACGTGGTAGAGTAGAGTAGCACTGCACAGCACTGCACGGCACCGCACAGCACTGCGCAGCACTGGCTCTGCACTGGCACTCCACTGGCACCGCACTGCACTGCACTGCACTGCACTGCACGGCACTGCACTGCACTGCACTGCACTGCCACAGCACTGCCACAGCACAGCACTGCCACAGCACTGCACAGCACTGCACAGCACTGCACAGCACTGCACTGCACAGCACTGCACAGCACTGCACAGCACTGCACAGCACTGCACAGCACTGCACAGCACTGCACAACACTGCACAGCACTGCACAGCACTGCACAGCACTGCATAGCACTGCGCAGCCCTGCGCAGCCCTGCGCAGCCCTGCGCAGCCCTGCGCAGCCCTGCGCAGCCCTGCGCAGCCCTGCGCAGCCCTGCGCAGCCCTGCGCAGCCCTGCGCAGCCCTGCGCCGCCCTGCGCAGCCCTGCGCAGCACTGCGCAGCACTGCACAGCACTGGCACTGCACTGGCACTGCACTGGAACTGCACTGGCACTGCACTGGCACTGCACTGGCACTGCACTGGCACTGCACGGCACTACACGGCACTGCACGGCACTGCACTGCACTGCACTACACTGCACTGCACAGCTCTGCACTGCACTGCACTGCACTGCACTGCACAGCACAGCACAGCACAGCACAGCACTGCACTGCACAGCACTGCACTGCACTGCACTGCACAGCACTGCACAGCACTGCACAGCACTGCACTGCACAGCACTGCACAGCACTGCACAGCACTGCACAGCACTGCACAGCACTGCACAGCACTGCACAGCACTGCACAGCACTGCACAGCACTGCACAGCACTGCACAGCACTGCACAGCACTGCGCAGCACTGCGCAGCACTGCGCAGCACTGCGCAGCACTGCGCAGCACTGCGCAGCACTGCGCAGCACTGCGCAGCACTGCGCAGCACTGCGTAGCACTGCGCAGCCCTGCGCAGCCCTGCGCAGCCCTGCGCAGCCCTGCGCAGCCCTGCGCAGCACTGCGCAGCACTGCACAGCACTGACACTGCACTGGCACTGCACTGGCACTGCACTGGCACTGCACTGGCACTGCACTGGCACTGCACGGCACTGCACGGCACTGCACGGCACTGCACTGCACAGCACTGCACTGCACTGCACTGCACTGCACTGCACAGCACAGCACAGCACAGCACAGCACAGCACAGCACAGCACAGCACAGCACAGCACTGCACAGCACAGTACAGCACAGCACAGCACAGCTCAGCACAGCACAGCGCAGCACAGCGCAGCACAGCACAGCACAGCGCAGCACTGCACAGCACAGCGTTTTTATCATAAAAACGCGGGGAAAAGGTAGAAAAGCTAGTTCTAAAAAAATACAAAATAAGTACAAAATAAGTGAAAATAAAGACAAAATAAAGGCAAAATAAAGTCAAAATAAAGCCAAAATAAAGGTAAAGCGTTCATAGTTCGAGTGTCCGCGCTGTAACGTTTCTTCTTTGACAAACATTCCTTTCCGAAAGCTAAATATTTTCTTCTTTAGCTTAATATTAAATCTATATATGTTTCTTTTTTTGTAGTGTTGGTAGACAGCCAACTTCACATGTTGGAACACGGAATTATGCGGCGGATGATAATATGGGACATAGTAATCCGACAAATGGAAATGCAGAAAGTAATCAAGGCAACCAACCAGAATATATGGAATATGGGGAATTCCAGAATGTTGATTTAAGTGATCAACTTAACCAGCTGCATGACCTCAGTGACCCACATTATCAGTCACCAGGTACTGCACATGAGGGATCAGAGCCAGCTGCTTACGCAGAACTTGACCTCAGTGACCCACATTATCAGTCACCAGGTACTGCACATGAGAGATCAGAACCAGCTGCTTACGCAGGACTTCACCCCAGTGACCCACATAATCAGTCACTAGGTACTGCACATGAGGGATCAGAGCCGGCTATTTACACAGGACTTGTCCCCAGCGACCTCCATTATCAGTCACCAGGTACTGCACTTGAGGGATCAGAGCCAGCTGTTTACACAGGACTTGTCCCCAGCGACCTCCATTATCAGTCACCAGGTACTGCACATGAGAGATCAGAGCCAGCTGCTTACGCAGGACTTGACCTCAGTGACCCACATTATCAGTCACCAGGTACTGCACATGAGGGATCAGAGCCAGCTGCTTACGCAGGAATTGTCCCCAGCGACCTCCATTACCAGTCACTTGGTACTGCACATGAGGGATCAGAGCCGGCTATTTACACAGGACTTGTCCCCAGCGACCTCCATTATCAGTCACCAGGTACTGCACATGAGAGATCAGAGCCAGCTGCTTACGCAGGACTTGTCCCCAGCGACCTCCATTATCAGTCACCAGGTACTGCACTTGAGGGATCAGAGCCAGCTGTTTACACAGGACTTGTCCCAGCGACCTCCATTATCAGTCACCAGGTATTGCACATGAGAGATCAGAGCCAGCTGCTTACGCAGGACTTGTCCCCAGCGACCTCCATTATCAGTCACCAGGTACTGCACATGAGGGATCAGAGCCAGCTGCTTACGCAGGACTTGACCACAGTGACCCCCATTCTCAGTCACTAGGTACTGCACATGAGGGATCAGAACCAGCTGCTTACACAGGACTTGACTTCAGTGACCCACGTTACCAGTCACCAGGTACTGCACATGAGAGATCAGAGCCAGCTGCTTACGCAGGACTTGTCCCCAGCGAACCCCATTATCAGTCACTAGGTACTGCACATTGGAAATCAGAGCCAGCTGTTTACACAGGACTTGACTTCGGGCAGTCAGAGTTCAGTCAGTCAGAGTTATAGATCGTATGATAAAAAGCTTTCTTACTGTTGTACGTTTTTTAACCTCTTGTCTGACTTGACCGGATAGGGGTTAAAATCCCTTAAGGTGTTTAAATCTAAAATGAATACCTACCTTAGAGTTATCCTGGTGCCGGAAATAAATATGTCAGGAAAATTGATACCAGGTACATATGTAGGGGTGAAAATGAATTCTAGCCACGCCCACAAAACGAGATTCTGGTACCTTTTAGGGGTTTCTTTCAAACTTTCGGATAATCACCCCCATCACATTTACATGGGAGTTGCAAAGATTTTGGAGGAAACTATTCGTAGAAAGCGGAAATCTCGTGATAAGCTGAAAATACCAAATTTGGCTAAAACGGCCTGTCAAAACTTGGTTGCCATGGAAACATCAAGTTACGTGTTCAAAAAATTGACACACCAAAATGTTTCCAGATATTTTTTTAGGAAAAGTCATAAAATGTGGCTATGATTGCTTGAATGCTCTTTAAGTACGATCAATTTGAATTCAGCGTGGGCACTTTCTGCCCCCCCCCCCCCCCCCCCCCCCCCCCTCCTCTGGTAGGGTTAAAAAAACTAATCCTAACTATTGGCAACTATTTACATTAATTGATTAAAAATAAAAATAAATACTAATTGCGTTCATTCATCAGATCGATAAATATTAGAAACAAATAACAATTAAAAGAGCGAGGTCCTAACACATGTTTAAAATAAATTTCTTCGCCATGCCTTCAAATTTAAAATATTCAGATTCGTATCTTATTTCATGTGGAAGAAAGTTAAAACGCTTTGCTGTGCAGTCTTGAAAGGTACCAGTGCCCAGAGTTAGTTAGAATCTTGGTGCTTCCAGCGATCTTTGCCTATATGCGCTGACTACTTGGTGAAGTTTAATGTTTAAGTACTCAGGCCAGTTTGCTTCATAAAGCAATTATTCCATGTGTAGTCATGTCGGTCGCATTTGCTGACACTTACAGTCATCCCCATTAAATATTTCGTTCCAAACTGTCTGCATTATTTAGTAGACTTAACTTTTGTTTGATTTAGAAGAACCAGGGTTTTTTTTTTAATTTAATGAATATTTTAGCCATCTATTTCAACATAGCGCTATGTTACCAAAGTTGGCCATAAGGGGTGTTATGAGCTACCATATTTGTCAGAATTCGTGCTATAAGCCGATCGATAACAAGTGAGTAAAGAGCCAACCAGAAAGCTAGAAAATAATGCAATAGCAGTAATTGAGTATTCAGAATATTACATGTAAAGAAATAAAATACGTTCTGTTTTTATTACTAGTGTTTTACTGTATTCTATTCCCGGAAGGGGGGGGGGGGGGGGTACTCCCTATAATGGACTATACAGGGAGGCTCCGCCCGAAAGGGGTACCTTTTCAGACTGGAGGTATATGAAAGGGTAGGGATTTCACGAGTTGGAGTATAGAAAAGGGTAGGGATTTCACGAGTTGGAGTATAGAAAAGGGTAGGGAAAACTGTCATTTAGGTATGTGGTGACTGCAGGTTTGAAGTTCTTAGCCATCGTAAGACAGCTTCCTTCCACTTCCTTCTGGGGATATATATTGTTCATTAAGTTCATTCCAAGGGTATAGAAAAGGGATGCAGTGTTTCTAGGAAAGTGATTACTCTGCATAGACTGCATACTGTAGGTATGTGAAAGGGGTACCATTTTCATAATTTATATG